AAACCTTCTGATCGTTTTTCAAAATTCCCATTCAACTTTGTACGAAATTCCTAGCCAGTGCAATAAGGCAGAAAAAATAAACAAAAGACATCCAAATTGGGAAGGAAGAAGTAAAATCATCTTTACTTACAGTTAATATCATCTGTGTAAAAAAAAAATCCTTAGAAATTTACAGGGTTGCAAAATATAAGGTCAATTGCATTTCTATGTACTAGCTACAAATAGAAATAGAAAAATTGCCATTTACAATAACAGCAAAAAATGAAATATTTAGAAATAAATTAACAAAATATATGTAAATACTCAAAAAACTACAAAACATTACTGACATAAAATAAAGAAGGCCAAAGTAAATAGAGAGATATACTATGTTCATGTATTGGAAAACTCAATATTGTTAAGATGTCAAGTGCATACATCCTTCAGCACAACTTCAGGTATCCAGTGTCATGCCTGCCTGTATCTTGTTAGTCAAAAAGAGTTGTATGGCCAAGTCCAATATCAATGAAGTGAGAATATCTACTATGAAGATGAAGGGGAGAAATACAGTTCCAAAGCATGATTCAATTTACCACAATGTTCACTGGACATTAGTGATATTCATATCCCTAGGACTTAGTATAATACGTGGGAAATGGTTGCTAAATGTTGACTAAATGTCTTTTTAGAAAAGTGTGCCAGAATAACACTTTTTCAATTTGAAAAGATCCTTATTTCCAGAATCATAACTACAGTGTCCAACCTTACCCTCACCACCCACATCTCTTAGAGTCTATCTACATCACTATAGTCTCACTGTAGTTGCCAAAGGATTTATTATAGGAGCTGAAGTCACTGCCAAAATACTCACAGGTATTCTTGCTAAGAGTGAGAAACTGCCATTTTTTCTTTGTTTTCTATAGAGTTGAGGTGTAATGGTAGTGTTGAACACATATAAGGTAATAACCTTGATCGATTATTACCCTGTGACTTCCCCTAAACACATATTCTTCCTGTCCCTTAGGATGAACTTAAAAATCAACCCATAGACATTTCTTGTCATACTTAGATAATAAAATGTTCTTTACTTCCTCTAGTATAGTAACCATAAACTCTGAATTTCCCCACCTTGGACCTTCTGAAGAAGGAAAGGCTGCAGTGATGGAGATGAATATGGTTAATTTTTTCTCAATTTTCCCCAACTAGAGATTTTTTATTCCTTCCCTACTCACTTTGTTGCTCCCAGTTCCTCTGTGGTTAAGGGGGTATCATCTGGGGAAGAAGTAAGAAGATCAGAGAGATCTTAATTGGCTGGTACTATGTTGAGTTAGTATCAAGAATTGTAAAGGGTCTGAGATTTTATCCTATTGCCAGTGAACAAGTTAGCCTGTGCAGTTTCATAGGCGGTACCAGAAGACACAAGTCTCCTGGGTCAGAAACAAAGGACTTCACTGCTCGCAGCATGAACTGTACGTCAGTTTTCCCTGTCTCCCAAGCCCTTTGGGGGCAATGCAACGTGTTAGGTAGATGCTACCCAGGCAATGGGTTTGTGTCACAGCTAAAGAACCCTAAACTTAGGAAACCTATCTTTCATAATGGGCTTCAAGCAAATCTGACCTACCTTTCTCCCAGAAAAAGACATTGTCTTTATTATACTGACCATCAAACAAATCTGGTCTAGAGAGAGAGGCTATCTCTATCCATGATAAAGAGATCTTGTCTGTTGTATTAATTTCTGAATTCCAGGGCTTAACAAAATACCTAGCTCAGTAACACTGAAAATTACAGGGATGGAAGTTTGGAAGGATGGATAGAAAGGTGGCCTTGGATGGATGCAAATGGGTGCCACTGGGTCTGGCTGCCCCAGACTTAGCTCCCCATTCTTAATGTTCCAACACCGTGTCCTCTGGCTACAGAAAAGCTTTCACTTTATCAGAAAACTCCAATAAGCTATACTCTATACCCTCCCTACTCTTCTGGCTTTTTGTTACTCCCTGGTAAGGACTGTGGCCTCCACCTCCCATGATTGTCTGCTCTGTACTACTCTGCTGTGACGTAATGCTCCCCTCAGGTAATTAGCCGGTTGGAATCAACTCTGCCAGCTGCCTCGTTTAGGCTTAAGCATTCTAGAGATCAACTAAACAAAGAAGAGGCTGTTCTCTAATAAATATTTGTTGAAGGAATTAATTTTAAAATGACTTTCTGTGGCCAGTTCACTGCATTATGTTCTCGTGCATTTTTCCATTTCGAAAACCAAACACCAACCTTTCTAGGGAGAAAGGATGTCTAGGAATCTCAGGTTAATGAAAGATGCATTCACCCTGGAACTGTCTTCTTATACACCAGATACTACTACACGCAACTCCTTTAGCAAGCTCAGTAAAATAGAAATGTAATGAAATACTCAGGACAGAGAAGAAAAAGGTTTTCTTCAAAGAGTTACTTATTTCCTAAACAAGTCTAAAACTTTGACCAGCCAAATGATCTGCAGCTTAAGCACCACACAGAAAATACTGGATCCGACTCTGTTTGGAACACTCAGCATGAAATGTAATGAAATTCAAAATAGACAGGATACACATGCTCCAGAGGGAAGTCATTAATACCCATGAATAATGATAAAGCAAAATGCCATCTGTCACAATAATGTGGCAAATCTTTTTAAAATTCCGATTAGCCCGTAAACCAGAAACTGGGAGCAATATGCTCCCACTGTAATGCGAGACCCTGTGTCCTTAATGTCTCCATTGCTTTATGTATAGACTAAAATGTGGGTGATGGGAACATCACCCATATATGAATACATCTTGGAGGATGCATTCATTTTCTTTAGGACATGGGTACTATTTATGTAACTGTGTAGAACAGAATGTTATAACCTAATTAAGGCCACATATATTTTAATTGCAGGGGTAAACAACTGTGTCTATTACAAACATAATATATTAATTTGGCTGTAATGATGTGATTGGGTTTAATCCTTACATATATTTGAAGTCAAAGATAATGAAACATTTCTACTCCCATGTTATCCCAGGGAAAACTGCCTGGTTCATGATGGATGCAGATATTCTAAGCCTTTTTCCTGAGCTGCATTTTTTGAAACACATAATTATAAAAATCATAATATCCATTATTAGAACTGTTACAGTATAGCCTGAAAAGATATTTCTCTTACTACAAATGTGTAAAATGGTTGTAGTCCATCACTTGCCTTTTGAAGAACCTCAAAAGGCAAAGCAGCCTACTTCTGAACTGACATTTCTCAGTATCTCTTGCTTTCCCATGGGTTGTTGCAGTGTAAACAACATGAATTGGTGTAGTTGGAATTTCTAATCCCAGGATTCTCATTACTCGATTGTGTGCTTTTTAGAAATCACTTGCTTTCCACATCTATGAAATGTCTTCCCTGCCTCAAAGTGCAATTGTAGGAATCAAAAGGAGAAAATGTGAAAAGGATCTTTGAAAAAGTTTTAAAACCCTCCAATAGTAAAAGTCATTTTTTTATTATGAAGTAGGCAGAATCATCTGCATTATATTAAGAGGTAGAATTATACATTAAAAAGAACAGAATGATCTCTGCACAGGCTTGAAGAATTGTGTTGCTGCTGGCTTAGGCCACTATTGTTTAATCAGCAGGATTGTCCCCAATGATCTATTTCCTTCCTGGAGCTGGAACAGAGGCAGAGCCTTTACCCAAACTAAAGGCAGCTCCTTCCAGCTTTACCTCCAAGCCGGTACTTTGATCTGCAGGCTATTTGAATTTGGTTAATAAGGAGTTATGTTGAAATAGGAGTTACATTCCAGTTATTAACCAATTTCCATTATTTATGAATTGAAAATAAGATGAGTTATTTCTTAAAAATTCCTAAAGTCATTTGATTCAGCATGCTTCAGAACATACCACATCCTCACACACATCACATCACAGTGAGTAATGTGAGGCAGAGGAAACCCTGAAAACTGCAAATAATCTGCAAAGCAGGTGATTCACGTTCAAAAATTTCCTCTAAGAATCATATCTGAAGATTTGGGCACAACATCAATTTATTTCTGCACACCCTTTGGCCTAGCAATTTTATTTCTAGGAGCCTGTCGTAACACTACTATGTGTGCACAAGACTGTACATGCAAGGATGTTCCTAAAGTAATTTTAATAGCAAAGAATTGGAAACTACAATAAAACTAAAGGAACATGATAGCATAAATTATGGTACATTTACATAATGGGAAACTATATAGCTGATAAAAAGTGAGGCAGGTCTATCTATACAACTTCTCACAGAAATCTCTAAAACATAGCATTAAAAGAAAAAAGCCTTTTAACTCGGGGTGATAATGATGTGTTGGGATATAGGTTCATCAACTGTAACAAATGTACTGCTCTGTGGGGGATGGTGATAATGGGGGAGGCTGTGCATGGCATGGGTACATGGGAAATCACTGTACCTTCCCCTCAATTTTTCTGTGAACCTAAAACTGCTTCAAGAAACAAAGTCTATTATTAACAAGAAGAAATGCACACTATAAAGCTTACAGAAAATAAATCCCATTTAGGTAAATATGAAGCAAAATAGAGACATATATATGTATCAGCAGCTGCACAGAAATGGGACTGAAAATATAAAAGATGCAATTCTGCCTCTGGGGAACAAGCTAGGGACAGGGAAGAAGATACAGTGAAAAAAGAGTTTAACCTTGTATATTACACACTTCTGTGATGTTTGAATATTGTACATGGTAAAATACAGTCCTATACTCCTTATGCAGGGGAGAAAAACATCACGCTATAAAATGCTATTACAATAAACAAACAATAGGACCAAAGATGAGCCATCTTCCAGTCATCTTTAAGTCAAATGCTCTGAGAACTAACAGCTGAAATAATGTTTAAATCTTAAAATTGCCATTAGTTTCATATAAAGCATAATAAAGTCCTACTTAAAATGTTGCTAAGAAAGTAAATGAAAAGGACTGATTCATATGATTAAACTAAAAACAAAAATGCTGGAACCTTAGCATAACTTTAAATTATATATATCATTTATTGAAATATAAAGATCTTCATTTACACGTTTTAAAACAAAAACATGAATAGGGGCATTTTGTAATACGTTTTGTTTCGGGAGACCCTTCCTATTGAGTTAGTTCTCACATACTCACCACACCACTGTTTTGGGAATACATATGTATTTTTCTCTTTATTATTTCTAAAATATAAATTTTGGACATTCAAAAGTGCAACAGTTAATGTGCCTGTGGGGAATATCACAGTTAAAAAATATAAACAAAGGCAGTGATACAGCTTGTCATATACGTTTTGGCTGTTTCTCCAAGTCTACATAGAAATACATATATACATATTGATGTATAACATCATTTTATCTTATGTCCCTCTTCACAAAAATAGGACCATTTGTACAGATTGGCAGACCACATTTTAAGGATACCATTGATCATTTTAAAAAATCACAAATTGTGTTTCTCTGGCCAGCCTTGATTGTCTTCATAAAAATAGAAAGCAGGAAAGATTGGCAAATTTTCATTTGGGAACTCTGCAGGAGGCCAAAAAGGAAACAAATCTGATACACTGTTTAAGAAAAAAGAAAAATGCAGCCACACACGAACTCAGGTGGGAACATTTGTTACGAATGGAACCTGCTTGTCCGAGAATTTTCATCCAGCCTCATGATGTCATGCAAGACTCAAAGGAAGACCAAAATGCAAAGCGCTGACAAGAAAAGGCTGTACAAGGGAGAGTGAGCGATAAACAGAATGCTTGAGCTGTGATTCTAGAAACACAAATGTATTTCAAGTCTAATTGGCTCTACAGAAGTTAATCAGGTTTTCTTTTCTAATTGGCCAATCTGGCTCAGTCTTCACACTTAAGGTGCAAAGGATGGCTAAGGAAGTTGGGGCCTGCACTGAGATTATTCCAGTAGGTAGTCAAGTACCTTGTTATTGCTCCTGCATCTGCCACAGCATCACCTGGCAGGAGCACACAGTGATTGCAGTCATCATAGCCCATGTTTCATGCATAGCCTGGTAGCATTTAAGGGTATTGCAAAGAATGCCAAGGAACCCACACCAATCAGTTTGACAGTTTGAACAGATATGACAATCTGTCCTGCCATCTAATCCTAAAATGTCAGTAAAAGTTTTTTTAAGTTTTTTCTCCAAAATATTGACCTGGTTATACAGCGACTTGGCACACTGAATTGCGTCATTTTTGTACATGCCTTTTGGGGGAGGGAGAGGGGGGGTTCAGTTCCCTTTTGGGGATGGGGATAGTGGCCAGCTCAGTTCCCCCATGCAGGGAGAGCCAGTGTCTTCACTTTTGGAAGACCTGCCAAACCAAGATTCAGTTTTCTCAGCCTCAGCTAAGACCAGAAATTTAAATTAAGGGTAGCAATAACTGAATATATATCATTCAATGTCACAGACCCAAGGATTTAAATAATGGCTTCCTGCGTGATTGACTTGTAGCCCAGCTTCCAAATTTCAAGTTATTTTTCCCTGTGGCAACTTCCTGTAAACTAAGTTGGTGTTTCACAGACTTGGCTGATCAGAACAGTCAGGGAGTTTATAAAAATACAGGTTCCTACTCCTCCCCTCAACCCACCCCGGACTTAATTCAGAAACTCTGGGGTGAAGACCTACAATGTGGATCCTGGTTACCAATTACATTTGTAATCCATGGGTCCAGGCTAACGCACACACAGCTTTCACTAAACAATGCCTTTATGTTTTCAGTTTCATACTATTTGTCCTTGTGGTAAGAGACGAAGCAGGGGGGCCTGATGTACAGGGCATCCTTATGATTCTTTTAGGGTTTGTAGAATTTTAAAAATGTATATGTTGAAATCCACCAAAGTAATCACCAGGCATGAAAAACAATTTTAAAAACTCTGCAAACTCTTCATCTTTGATGAAGATTATACTACCCACTGGTTAATAACATGAGAAGTCGTGCTAGGTATAGGCTTATGCTTTTATATTGAGAACATTTAGGATTTAGGTGTTTTGTTTTGAATCCCATTACTTCAGAGGGCAGCTAATTGTTTTTAGTACAACAGATTAAGGATCCTATTTAGTACACAGTTAAATACACTGACTTCCTGGAAGACACTACTTTTACTTTGTTCTCTATATTCAACTAAATTTAATCTACTAAAGCTATGACCATATTTTATAGGGAATCATATGTTATTTGATATAAATGTCAAAAACTGTCAAACTTGTCACCTACTTAGTAAGGACTTTTTAAAAATTGTGCTTTCTCTGTAGGGAAAATGTGTTACATATTACACACTGAGCTTTATGACAAACAGTAGTAGTATTATAAACATAGGTTACAATATGAAAATGAGTGGCTAGGCTTCTAAGTGACCCAGATCTATTAAACAAGATTGGTTAATTATTATCTTCTTTCTCTTTAACACTAAAAATAAAAAAAGTAAAATGCTATAGTACCAGTACCTTTTAAGGTTCAAAAGTGGTTTTGCATGTACTTCATAGGAAAGTTCAACAGCAGCTGATACCTGGTTTCAAGCGGGAAGTACACGATGGGTTGAGTGGTCTCTTCCAAAGTCCAGAGGAGATAGTTCACACAGATCTAAACATATCCTTGACTAGAGTTATTTACATAATTACAATGCTGGAGCTTTCTTGCATTAAGAATCATCTATGTTGGAAACTCACCAATGCCCTTGAAACACAAAGTTCACCTTCCGTAGCCTATTATTTCGTTGTCCATCTCCCTCCAAACTTCACACACCGTTGAGATGCTACTGCAGCACTGTAAGAGGCAACACTGAGCACATTCACTTCAAAATATTCCAGTCAGTCATAGTCAGAGGGCTCCCTGAGGCCCTTGGCTGAGAACTTCTCTTTACAATCCTCCAGGTTCTCCTCCCAAACTTGGCACTGCAATAAAGTGGTTTTCTTAAAAGAGATCCCAGGTGGCTCCAAGAGTAGAAGGTACCCCCTGAATCTGCCAGTTACAGGAAGCTGTCCTCTACCAGGTCTGAGGAGTCTATGCCAATGTCATCCATCATGTCGATGTCCTCAATGGTCTCATCCTCTCTCTTGATGAATGTAGAACTGCTGGAACCTGTCTCGATGGCACTCTCTTCAGAGGTCTGCGAGCTGCAAGAGGGTAAGAACAAGAAAGCTTACAGCCCACATACAGACCAACCACACATGGTGGTTGAATTTCCAGGGTGGCCCCCCAAAGGCAAAGGAGCTCTTCCTGCAAGATTCTTTGGCATTCAAATTTGGGCTACCCAGTTTGGCAAGATTCTGCCACCAAGCCAGACAGCTGCTCATCATGCATCACCCTGCAGTGGGCCAGGGGGAAAACAAGATCCACAGGTCAGCTTCACACTTCAGCTTTCCTTCTCTTCTGTCAAATCTTTCATCAGAGTTGCTAACAAGTTGCAACAATTTCTACTTTCCCTACTTGATCCCAGGGGAAGAGAAAATGGGCAATGCCTGAACAAAAAGCAGGGGAAGAAAAAGCAGAGGGATGGAATCAGTGGCATACTGCAGCCAGGCCAGTCACCTGCTCCCCCTGAAACCTCCTGTGTCCAGACTATGCTCTCAGGATGTCCCGCCCCTCTGCTGGAGTGCCTCTACTCCTCCCTGAGTCGTGAACGCTCTTTACTTACCAGAGTAGTGGCTGAGGGAGGGCATTCAAGGGCCAGAAAGCCTCAGGTCTAGTACGGTCTACCACTTAGTGGCACTGGGACTTCACACAAGTCACATATCTGCAATGTGTTCCCTTGCATGTAAAGTGGGATTACATAGTGCCAGACAATATTCCTGTTTGTCAGGGTGATTAATCCTAACCCCAACCATAAAGCACTGAGCATAGCACACTGAACACAGCCAGCACTTAATAAAGGTTAGCTGTTATTATTACTGTTATTACTCAAGCTTTTACCTGAATGAAGCCTGGATGTTAGATGATATGAAGGAATACTTGTTTTCTTATATGTGATCATGCTACTGTGCTTATGTAGGAAGCCATCCTTATTTATTCTTAGGACATGTGTGGTAGAGTTTCAAATGATTTAGTTTAAAACATTTTAATTTTAAAAAAAAGTCTGTGGATGAGTGAGATAGACACAATACCTACTACATACATATAGCTAAAAAAGCAAATGTGTCAAAACATTAACTAATAAATCTAAGTAGTAAATGTATTCTTTCAATTCTTCTGGACATTTAAAATGTTTCACAAAAAATTCTGGGAACATTATCTCCCCTAAAGTCTCTGGCCCATCAATATTCTCCATCTGTCCTCCCTTCTCTGAACTCTTAATGTCTTATTATCCTGCCTTGGATTGCTCAATTTTCATGTGTATCTTTGTGCTCCAAGCAGGTTATCATCTGCTGACAGGCAGTACCATGGTCCCTTCTCCTGCCCCCGAGGCTGTGACACTGTGCTTATATGGAGCATAAACCCATGCTGTTGGCTGGCCAGCCAGAAGAAGGGGTCTCACAGACAGGCACCCCACAGGGACCCTTCCAACAGTTTCCTGCCTGTCAGGCCAGGCCTGACTCCTCAGCCTCTCTCCCCTCCTCTCCATATCAGTGTCCAAGCAGAGAACTAAGCCTGGCCAAGGAGTAGACTAGGAAACAGCTTTCTGCCAACTATGCCAAGGTGCCCGAGAGAGTTCTCAGAACCTATGGGGCAATGGAATGAGGTTTTTCTTCACAACCCTGTGGACTGGGCCCTTCCATGACTGAGCTTTGGCCTCACTTCCTGATTTGTGCCCCACCTCCTCCCTCAAATTACCCTGCTCCCAAGAGCCTCACTGTGAACCCCAGTCCACTTGGCTGGGCTTGATAAGCATGTAATCCCTGAGAGCCCCTCTCCCTGGGGCCCTGGCCTGTGGCTGGAGGCCTGAGACAGCCCTTTGGATACTGACCCCAACCCAGCTAGGATCTGCATTTATGACACTTCCTCAGATGCTGTGATGTGGACTGTTGGCCCCTCTTTGGGGGAAAGTTCTACAGCTGAGTGCCACAGTGGAGTCAGTCCCCCCAGCCTGGCCCTGGCATAGTCCAGCACACTGACGGAAGGCAAGGGTGTAGGCACAGGNTTGATAAGCATGTAATCCCTGAGAGCCCCTCTCCCTGGGGCCCTGGCCTGTGGCTGGAGGCCTGAGACAGCCCTTGGATACTGACCCCAACCCAGCTAGGATCTGCATTTATGACACTTCCTCAGATGCTGTGATGTGGACTGTTGGCCCCTCTTTGGGGGAAAGTTCTACAGCTGAGTGCCACAGTGGAGTCAGTCCCCCCAGCCTGGCCCTGGCATAGTCCAGCACACTGACGGAAGGCAAGGGTGTAGGCACAGGGGGTAATTTCCATGCAGACGCAGCACTTGATCACCCTTGCTGCTTGTCAGCCTTCACGTTAGAAATCTGCCACAATACAAAGTTAAAGAACTCAATCAGCCAGGAAGCACCTGGGCCCCACTCCCAGAGGGTCTCATCTGTTGTTCCGGGTCTCCCCAGGTGAACCCAACTTGCAGCTAGCAGCAGCAAGAACTGCTGATGTAGCATCAAATAGGCCAGGCCTGCCTCTTTCACACGTTATCCTCTGTTCAGGGATTAATTAAGAAAACAGCAAGAGGGACTTATATTATCTCAATAATCACAGTTGCTGTTAGTTTGATCAAATTACCTGATGACTTAAGTCAAGGATTCTTCACCAGGGAAGCACCTTCCCAGCCCCAGGGGGGCACATATTGGGATTATAGGGAAGTGTTTCCAAAACTGAACAGGCCCCATGGGGATTCTGCAAGCTGCTCCCCTGGAACAGAGGGCATCCCGTCCAGGGTGCTGGTAGCGCCAAGCTCTGTGGGGTGCTAGGGCGTGCCCACGGCTACCTGTGTCTGTTCCTCTTGCCCAGGTCTTCTTCCTCCGGTACAGGGTCTATGTCGGGCAGAGGGATGATGTAGCCGCTGTCCGCGCTCAGCCTCTGCTCGTCCAGGCTGCCCTCCCACTCCTTCAGCTTGTCTTCCTCGTTCTTGTAGGTGACGCCAATGTAGGCGTTGTCCGAGTCCACGCGCATGCGTGCCACGGCGGGGTGGTCGCTCTTCAGGAAGTCCAGGTGAATCTTTTCATAGCTCTGCAAATACCATTTCTCAGGTTAACCAAGTGTTTTTGACCAAACTGCACAAAGGAGTACAGATGCTCAGAACTTGCTATTATTTAACTGTGTTACAAGTCTCTTCACAGAGACTGAGAGTCAGATGTCAGCTGTCCCCAGAGAGGTGGAACATGAAGAAAGAGCCATGGATGGCAGAGATCTGCTGATCGATCTTAAAATACCAAGAACCCCTTCTCGGAGTCAGTAGCTATCACTGTGCGCCCTGCTCCACCCCCAGCACACACACATACTCCCTTCTCTGGGACTAGCATGGACCTTATGGCCCCCATCACATAATCTGTCCAGAGCTTGGATGGGCCCCAGTAAGAGGTGATGAGAACTTCCACCGGGAGCGCCACACCCAAAGCCTTCCTGATCCTAAACATTGGAGAAACCGAACTCAAAACTAACAAACCTTTTCTCTAATAAAAAGACCTCAATTTCAATAATAGTTCCGATCTCTTCCCACCAACACACCTTCACCAACCAGAGCGGGTTGACTGATCTAATTTCTTTCTGCCTCCTCACTGCCTCACTTACAGGGGTTGTAATGAGAAGTGAGATATCAATAGACAAAAGTAGTTAACTCCCAAGCAGGCATTCATTCTCCCAAGTCTGCTCCCCCTTGGAAGGAAGGGAAACAGCAAGTTTAAATCATCTATACAGTGACTCATCTGATTTTAAGAAATTGAGTTTATTATACAAGTGTGTCAGGATTTCCTTCTTAGCCTCTTGCAGAAAGCTGTTTCATTTATTAACATATCCTGCTTGGTTCCATGAAATTACATTTGTTCCTTTGAACAATGCTTCCCACTCCACAAAAACCAGCTGGAGCCACAGATAACAGCTGAAGTTGTTCCATCAGTCAGCTGTAAAAGCCAATTTCACGTGGATTTAAGTGCATTCAAATTAGCGATTTAATGGCTCTGGATGCCCTGAGACTTCCAACTGCACAGTAGCTTCAGATACTTAAACATCTGGAGTATAAAGTGCTCACAGGTGTTGCACACTTAAGATGAAAGGGAAGCTCTGCTGGAAGGGAAGGGTTTTCATTCCTCATTTCTGCCAGGGGCCCAGGGAGCACTCCATGAAGCCCTGGCTACTGGATCATACCATCTTTTTCCTCCTTTGAAAATGTTCCTTTCACTCACTTGCACAACTACCAGCTATTATCTTCTCCCTTTGCCCATTCCTTTCCACTCATCTTCAGAGGTGCAGACAGACCTTTTTGTATTGTCCAGGCAGAAGATTCTCCACAATCTCACTCAGGTGGTAAAAGGAGGGTCTCTTCTCTGGCTCACTGTTCCAGCACTTCACCATGATCTCATAGCTGGAGAGACACAGGACTCAGAGTGGGTTCAGGGAGGCATTCCAGGGCATCTCCCACCCCACAGACCCTCAGGGCATGAACACAAGGCCCATAGGATGGGCGAGGGGCTCACACTTCACTGGTAGCATGGTCAGGCTTGGCCATCCGGTACCCACTCTTGATCTTATTGTAGAAGGTAGAATCCACCATCATGCCGGGGTAGGGGGTGCCACCTGAGAACCAAAGAGAAAAACGCCAAGATTAACAGTGTGGGGTACAGTGTTGAAATGCTTGGCATGATAGAGCACCTTTAGAAAATATCTGGGGATCCCCAACTTGAAGTATGGTTCTTTCAAGGAAATTGAGTGGTATCATCTCCTTGACTTCACAGGTCTGTTCAAATCTTACATTTAACCAGGACTTCTAGGTTGGTCAAGCCCAGATACCTTAAGCAAAAATTCTACATCTTTAGAAAAAGTGCAAAAGTGGTTTTTCAATGTTTTCTGACTACTGTATCTATATATACAAAACAAAATAGAAAAGCAAGAGAAATCCTGAATCATCAAAGCCAAAAGGTCATTTTCACCAGAAATATTCAAATAATTAGAGCAGAACTCAAAGTTGGGCCTTGAAATAGCTAGATAATCCTGTTTTTAACAAAGTACGAGACTTGGTTAAGCTGCACAATGGGATGATCCACAGTGACATCCAAGCAGGGAGGACTAGGACAGGAAAAGAACAGGCGGGGAAGACACCTTTACCATCACCTCAGGGTGACCATACGTTCATGAACCCTTTCACATTTTTATGGCCAAGGCCAGATCAAGTTTTGTTTCCTCTCTGAAGCCTTCCAAACCATTCCAGGACTCCTTTCTCCTTTCTCTGGACTTCCATTACAATATCAAATCATCACCACACAGTTTACCATTAGTGTGTAAACCTCATCTCCCCAGATGAACTGTCCAGAGGTCCAGGTGGTGAATCACCCCTCTCTTTAGGGTCCTCACCTGGAAGCACAGGGCACCTGTGTTGTTCAGTACCTGGTGACTGATTGGCTGAATGACTGGGTTTCTCTCATCCAGAATGATGACCAGTGAGAGAAGTCATTCCCTTTTCCTCACCATGCTACTCTTCATCTGAGCTTCAATCCCCAGGAAGGTCAACTCTCCACTCATGAAACCACTTAACCCAAAATCCAAGGTAAAAAAGCAGCTGGTGAATGGATGTCAGCAGAACATTTCCTTTGGAGAAAGTCACTCTGGCATAGCCCAAGGGAGAGGAGGGGCAAAGGCCAGAAGTGAGGGCCAGCCCCTCAGAACCCCATCCCACCAGACAACATCAAGTGCACAGTGCGCGATGTAAATCAGTGGCAGCACGCTTGACTGACACCACGTATCTTAAGATTGTTTACATACTGGATCTTGGAAAAACATAGCACTTCCAGTGCTGATTCCCAACAACCCAAACAAGCAGAGATGTCAGGCCCATACCGAGGGAAAAGATCTCCCAGAGGAGAATGCCGTAAGACCAGACGTCACTCAGTGTAGTGTACAGGTTGTCAAAGATGCTCTCCGGAGCCATCCACTTCACTGGGAGAAAAGTCTGCAGGGAAGGAGGGGGGCAGTTAAACCCAGCATGTGCACCGATGATCTACAGCAGCAGAAATAGAAAGGGTCTCTTTGGATTAAAAATAACTTTCATGAATAAACCTTGCCCCATGTGGATGTGTCTCTTGTGGGCTCTGTTCACAGCTATAGTCTCAGCACCCTGAAGAGTGCTAGCACCTAGTGGTGCACAACAAATATTTGATGAATGGTGGATGGTCAGTGTCACCTCTTATGCCCTCTCAAGGAGTAATATCCAAAATTACTTAATCCTGAAATTTTTCCCAAAAAGGATGAGCTTTGAATGGACCAGTCCTCTATTTTCAGGTGTTCCTAGGAACAAAATTAAAAATAGATCCAGTGATATGAAAACCAGTTACATTTCTGCACTTTAAAAAATAGTTATTTCCTACTGCTACAAAGAGTATAATATTAAGATAATTTTGCAGCCTCTCTTGTGAGGGTGGTCCAAACTTCAGTGGAAATGCTTAGCTGAAGCAAACACATAAAGAAACCACATTAGCATCCTTTAGCCCTTTAAGGTTGCCAGGGAGATAACAGAGATTCATAACTTTTCTGAACAGGTGAGAAACTGTTTCCACCAAAGTCCATTGATTTGGTCGTGACCACACAGTACATGAGCACCTCGAGCATGGACAGAGCCCATGAATGTCCCTCTGCAGGCGATGCAGCAACCCCGGGGCTGCCTAACAACCAGCACAGCGGGGTGATCTGGAATTGTACCTACAGGGGGCAGATGTACCCCAAGCTACTTCATCTACTTCAAGGTGGAAGGGGTAGGGAGACAGGTTCAAGTGTAAGACAGAATGAAAGAAATTGTTCCTCTAAGCTATATTAACTCAAATGGTTTTAACATTTTACGTATCATAGACACCATGTGAAAATTTGCTAAAAGTTAGAGATGTGCTCCTTGGAGATGCAGGCATGTACACACATCTGTGCTGTTTACATAGTAAAAGCTAACACTCACTGGGTGCTTGTATGTGCCAGGTACTATCTGAAGCATTTTACATGAATTCACCAATTTAGTCCCCCATAGCAACCCAGGAGATAAGTACTAATATTACCACTTTACTGATACAGATAAGGAAACCGAGGTGCACCACGTTCTAGTCACTTGCCCCAAACCCCCACACTGTTAAGTGCTGGAACCGGACTTGCATGCACGCAGCCTGGCTGCAGAGTCTGTGCTTTTCATACTGACCCCCTAGAGCCCCTTCATGAGTCCCATGACTCCACGTTAAAAGTATGGGACCACAGGGCTAGAAGAAAGACCTGATTTCAGAGATTCAAGTGACGGAGGATGAGCATGCCAGGTGAGGGGAAAGAGCACATACACTGCCTTTTGACACGTAGTTCGAGTCGTGCATGATGTCTCTGGCCAGGCCAAAGTCACAGATCTTCACAATTTTCCCTTGTGCCAGGAGGACATTGCGAGCAGCCAGGTCCCGGTGGACACACTGTAGAGACAGGGAAGAAACCACATCAGGGTCAATCCATCTGCTGCCAGACAGCATGACCCCTGCAAGACTGGCCACTTGATGGTGGCTCTTGGAGCTGCAGGTGCACCTTGGGGAAGCTGTCCTGGCATAAAGAGCTCACCTCCCCCAGTCTCTCCTCCCACCCACTCCAAGAGGGAGCAAGCTCTGGATGCAGAAAAGTAGACCCCTGATGATGCCAGACTCCCTACTCTGCTTTGGGGAAGAGGAGGAAGAGAGAAGCAGCTGTGCTACTGGCTTCTCCAAGGTCTCTCCTCCAGGCTCAGCCCACTCCGGTCGACCGGGTCTAAAGAGGTCTCTGTTCCTTAAATATACTTACATTTTTTGAAGCCAAGAACTCCATGCCTCGGGCAACTTGGTAAGTAAAGCTTAACAAATCCAACAAAGTAAGGCCTTCTGAGTTATCATCCGAAAGGAGGTTTTTGATCTCTGAGTCTGCAGACAAGGAATTAAGTGTTGGTGCTGGCAGACAGCATGACACATCACTCACTGTGACACTCCCACAGGGCTGGGCCACTTCTCAGGCTGCAGAGATTTGTCCAAAGAGCTTATCTAAAATTATTTTCTTGAAGAGTTTCTAGACCTTACAGGTGGGTATATAAACTATGCAAAAGTTCTATCATTAAAAAGAAGTATCCCTAGGAACATATGTATAGCTAATAGATACATAGATCTATCTCCTTAAGGACCAGTCTTATGGGTTCTCACATGTACTTTGTTGTTTGCCTCTCAAATCTTTCTTCAACCGTAGTTAGCAAATCACCTCAGCACCTTTAAAACACACACACACACACACACACACACACAAACCATCCATGATGAATATGCAAGTGGGCCCTTTGAAAAAGCAGCTACTAGGAATTGCTTTTTTTCTTTTTAAAGTCATTTTCATAGTATTTGGGTTACTCTACAAATAAAATCAACCACCAGTCAGACTCATGGTAACAATCTTAAACCTCAGTGCCAATGACTTTGCATTTAGTTCCCTTTGTTTATAACTTGTCCACTTTCCCCAATTAGTCCCATCTGGAAGGATCCCAAAGTTTTCGAGGAAGGAGGCACTCTAGGCCAGCAGTTCTCAGTACTTTTTGAAAAATTTCAGGCAAGTGGCTGATTTCAAGAGTAACTAGAGCCATTCACATTTTACCAGGCAGCTACAAGAAGGCCAGAAAGCAGTGGTCTGCCTGCCAGCAGGGCCTGGGCTGAGCATGAATCAGGTTCCCTTGACATCTGGAGCCAGGTCCAGCCTGGGAAGCAATGTAAACTATTTTTAACACTACGGGAGGGGAGAGGAAGCACTGATTCTGACAACTCTCATTGGCTAGTCTTTAAAAAGGGCTTGGAAATTTACCCATTTGGCAATGAGAAGTGAATGAACTTGGAACTGCAGCAATGGAAAATATTCTTGTGTACTGAGCTTCACAAAACAAGCACATTCTTTTTTAATGGATTATACCTTTCACTCAAGAACCCTGAAAGCATTCAGGGCATATTAGTGATTTTCAAAACAGTTTCCATGGTAGCTCAACACTTTTTTGCATTGACCAATGGGAGGGCTTAGACCCAATAACACACGATCATAGAAGAAGTCAATGTCAGGCCCATCGAGTAACCTCATCCCCACTCCAAGCCTGTGATTAAACTAGAACGCTGCTGGCCACCTCCCAGCAGCTGTGAGGTGGCCCATCTGGTATGGGCCTTGGCTAGGCTCCTTGGAGTCAACAAGTCAATTCAGCCTTGCCACATGCTTATCTGCTTGAAAACACATGGATCTTCCTTCAAATAACATTCAGTACAACATACAACACCCTTGTCAGAAAACATAGCCTTATATTGTCCACTTTCCAGTTTCTATCACAGATTGGGTATTAGTAAAACTAAAAGCAAGAGTTATTGAACTCATAGACAACTCATAGACAGACTTATATGATTACTTTTTAAAAAATAATATTAGGAACCAATATAAGATGCCAACTTTTAATTTTGCCACGTAAGGGCATTGAGAAAAAACATCAATCATCACCATGCTTCCCATTAAAAAAAAAAAAAAGATATAATAACACCAAAAAAGGAAAATGGTTTTATCAGAATAAACAATTGTTTTAAATGGTTAACACTTAAAGTTTAAAAAATCTATCACATTAAATCTGTCTTTATTCTTCTTCTTCATTTCAATTTCATTTCAACTTCTGAAAACATGTCACAGACCAAGTTGTGTGATCCTGTATTTAGGGACCACATCTTCGCAAGTCTACTCACCATGCCTGCTTAGCATCCTCTGAGTACTTTAAGTGTGGGTCCCCCACTAGCTGGAAGTAGAGTACCCCTGTGAACTCTTTCACGCACGAAAATGGTATAAAGCAAAGAAGCAATCACCATTTCGTAAAAGCAAAGATACTCTATATTTCTTTGCATTATCGAAAATAGGTACTAATGTAGGTCTTTCATAAAAGTGAAGTGGTGGAAAGTGAACTTCCAGATAGCAGGGGAAATCTGTATCATGTTAAACCACTGGATGATCACAACACTCAAAGAGTAAGCACAGACGTTTTCACCTAACATGGATTTCTTCTTATACGAGGCTGGGCGATCATACAGTGATCTCTGGATGTCCGAATATTTAGAAACCTCTTTCCTTTCCAGCATTGGGACATACTGTGTGGTATCAGCTTGCTTCATGTCCATATAGTCACCATTGTTTTCAAAAGATAAAATAACGTAACTGTAGAAACAGAAAAAGAAACTTTACCCAGGGTGCCCCCAGAAGTGGTCATTCAATACTACAAAGGTGATGAGCAGGTGCCAGCAGTGTGCATGGGAGTGTGGTGGGCACGCGGGTGGCAGAGAGGAGTGAGCAAGAGCAAGACCAGTCTGCACCCTTCACATGGGTGCTCTAGGCAGGGGGTGTGCATTAATCAGTGAACCACACAAATACATGGGTCCTTTCAGCTCATGTACCTGACTCTACTCTTTCTGTTTTTCAACTCACATACCACGAATCTGGGTCATATGACCATGTGGTATGGGCAGGCGTCTCCTGCTATTCAATAAATTTAGCACCAATTTGGTGTCCATCGGATAACTTAATACAAAGTAAACTCATTGCACTTTCTGATCTTACAGAACTTCAAATCTACAGAGATTTTTACAGCTATTTGTAGATTCCTGCAGTGGGGATCACTATCACTGGCTTGATTTATAGGCCCAGGTTCAGGAAAGATCAGTATCTCAAACTTGGAGATCTTTAACATTTCTCATGAGGTACTAGCCCTGAGGCATCCCTGGCCAGCACAGCAATTTATGTATCTTCAGTTGGCCACATTTGAACAGCAAAATGGCTCCCAGAATGATTCCAACTCTCGCAGGTTGCTGGACACAGTCTCCAGGCATGGACTATCAGGATACACTGGTCTCCCCATGGGTGAGGCTTGTAAGACAATGATTCCCAGCAATGTCTCTCTCACCTCCGTGTGCTCTCATCAGCAGGGTTCAATCCAAAGATGTCCAGCTCTTTCTTTGGCTTCTCTGGGTGGCGGCTCAGGAAGCTGTCCCTATTCTTATGCAAATAGTTGACCAAATCCCCATAGAAGCAGTACTCGGTGATGATGTAAATGGGGCCTGTGGGGTCCAAAACCAAAGATGGGTTATAAATATGAAAAACAGAAAAGCCATGAATTGCTATGGTGGCACTGCCAAAAGACATTGCTCAAAAACAACAAACTTCCATCAAGTAAATGAAATACAATCAATTCCATTCAAGGGACTTACATTCGCTGGTATGTGTGGAGGTAGAGAGTGCGGGTTTAAAAACCCTGGGCAGTCCTCACCACCACAGGTGTTCTATGAAAATCCTCACTCCCAGGTCAGTAAGCCTACCTGACTTGGTACAGGCTCCCAGCAAGTTTACAATATTTAAATGCGGCCCCAGGTGAGTCATTATCTTCAGTTCAGACATGAGAGCTTGTTTTTCACTAGATCTGGCTGTGGCTGTTGAAAAAATAAATCACGTATAAGTTCAACTGAGCTATACCTTCTTCCCAGAAAAAGCCAATAACATGGCTAATCCTGTGATTGGATATCATTTATTTACTAAAAGAGAAACAGTGCCTTGGTCTAGGCTCTATTAATTAATTCCTAGTCGTCAGGGTAAAAAGAAGTCACTAAAAATAACAACTCTTGATTTTCCAACATACGGGCAACAAGAACAGTCTAGACCAATGACAAAGGAGTCTAAATATACAAAATACCTAGAGCTAAAAGACTCAAGATCTAGTCCTAAAGTTGGCATTTCCTGGCTATGTGTGAGCAATTCACTTAATAGCTCCACGTTCAAAAAATCCCACCCAGGAAGGGGCACTTACGTTTTAGCATCTTCACTGCTACTTTCATGACAGGCTGGGACCGGCTTAATCCATAGGCAGTTCCTTCAACCACTTTCCCAAATGCACCAGATCCCAGGATACGACCTACGGGCAACCAGAACCATGAGCACATGCAGCTGTCAGGCAGCATCCCCTCTGCTGTATTTACCATGGCCAGCACTCGTGGGTGCACAGCTGGGTGGTGTTTTTCCTGTATGGAGTAAGCATAATGATTCCTCCAACTCATCATGTCAAAACAGAATGGAGCCCACAGGGAAGGAAATTAGTATAATTGCTTTTGCCAAATATCATTTGCAAGGGAAAGGAAAACAGCCGGGAGAAAGGAGGGTGCAGCCCTCCCTGGCATGAGCACTCTGTCCACCAGCTCAGCACTAGGCCAGACCGTGGACTCCATTGCACTTGTCTTCTGTGGCTCTCACTCAAACCTCCTGGTTCTCTTCCCTTCTGTTTTTGCATGTATCAGAAAACAGGCATCTTTTGCATCAGTAAGTCCTTATCCATTGGAACTACTTCAGTATTCAAGATGCCCCTGATTCCAAGGAGGGATGAAGGAAACTTCAGGCTGGTCTCCTTGCTGCCTGTGTGTCAGGAGATGGGAACAGCAGAGGTAATCATGCTCCTGGAGCACAACACCATATGAGAGATACAAAGTGAAGTGGGAGCAGTCAGCCCTGTCTCAAAGAGCTCAGACTACAAGGGACCTTGCTGGAGTGGCCAGTCTCACCATGTGCAGCAAAGCCAGGGGAAGACTCAACTCACAGAGGGCAGGCACTACCAGCTGGCCTTGACTCTGACTGTGTTTGCACTGTGGAAACTGTACCTGGAAAGGGATTGCTTCCTCAGCAACATGGGCTTATACAGGAGCAGAAAGACACAGAAATGCCTCTTAGCATATTAGGGACATTGTCCTTTTCCCACATACTTTATTACTTTTTAACCTTCCCTAAGCTCCTTATCCCTTTTTGTAAAAGGGTAAAATAGGGGGTGGGGGGAAGGAATATAATAAAGAAAGCTTATTTCCCCAACGGTAAGTCTTTGAAATTGGGAGTAGCTAGGGTGTCTTGTTTGATTTCAGGTTAACTAACTCAAAGGAAAGTAACTCTCTTTCCTTGCTCTATTTTAAAATAAGGCAACTGGGTAATCAAAACCGCCTTTGGCATGCTCCAAAGTACATACCATTTGAATATCTATGGTGACACAACCTCTAGCTCTAACTTTCATTTGTCTTTGTCCTGTTTTCATTCATTCAGAATGTAATAAAAAAAAATTCCTTTGCACTAAGCTTCATGTACTTGGTCTCGGCCCAAGATTAAAATATTTGAAATTTGTGATAAGTTAGCTTGATTATTTTTACATGTTTTGCTTTAAAATGTACCTATATTTTTATATTCTCTGTTCTAAATATACATTCTAAAGAAGTGTCCAATACATCCTCAGAATGTACTGGATCAAAATATATTTTGTGGTTGTCTTCGTTCATGTCTCATCTTTTCCTTTTTAGTCACATAAATTAATCTCATTTTCAAAAATTTGTGTCATTTCCAAGCAAAGCCCCTTCAATGGGTATCTTTGGTATGCCTCATATTCACTTCCCTTTTGTGAAATTTTCTTTAACCATAATTTGCTATGGAAGAAGATTTAAAAAATCATTTCAGTGATCCAATGAACTCATTTTCAAGACAGAAAAATATTTCTGAAAGCCATCTAGGCAGGGGGTGTGCATTAATCAGTGAACCACACAAATACATGGGTCCTTTCAGCTCATGTACCTGACTCTACTCTTTCTGTTTTTCAACTCACATACCACGAATCTGGGTCATATGACCATGTGGTATGGGCAGGCGTCTCCTGCTATTCAATAAATTTAGCACCAATTTGGTGTCCATCGAATAACTTAATACAAAGTAAACTCATTGCACTTTCTGATCTTACAGAACTTCAAATCTACAGAGATTTTTACAGCTATTTGTAGATTCCTGCAGTGGGGATCACTATCACTGGCTTGATTTATAGGCCCAGGTTCAGGAAAGATCAGTATCTCAAACTTGGAGATCTTTAACATTTCTCATGAGGTACTAGCCCTGAGGCATCCCTGGCCAGCACAGCAATTTATGTATCTTCAGTTGGCCACATTTGAACAGCAAAATGGCTCCCAGAATGATTCCAACTCTCGCAGGTTGCTGGACACAGTCTCCAGGCATGGACTATCAGGATACACTGGTCTCCCCATGGGTGAGGCTTGTAAGACAATGATTCCCAGCAATGTCTCTCTCACCTCCGTGTGCTCTCATCAGCAGGGTTCAATCCAAAGATGTCCAGCTCTTTCTTTGGCTTCTCTGGGTGGCGGCTCAGGAAGCTGTCCCTATTCTTATGCAAATAGTTGACCAAATCCCCATAGAAGCAGTACTCGGTGATGATGTAAATGGGGCCTGTGGGGTCCAAAACCAAAGATGGGTTATAAATATGAAAAACAGAAAAGCCATGAATTGCTATGGTGGCACTGCCAAAAGACATTGCTCAAAAACAACAAACTTCCATCAAGTAAATGAAATACAATCAATTCCATTCAAGGGACTTACATTTGCTGGTATGTGTGGAGGTAGAGAGTGCGGGTTTAAAAACCCTGGGCAGTCCTCACCACCACAGGTGTTCTATGAAAATCCTCACTCCCAGGTCAGTAAGCCTACCTGACTTGGTACAGGCTCCCAGCAAGTTTACAATATTTAAATGCGGCCCCAGGTGAGTCATTATGAAGTCCGAATGCACCAAAGCTTAACCGCAGCATCAAAGCAGCCAGACACTGTGCGATTTGACACCTGCAGTCAGCACATAATTACTGAGCTCCTTCTCTGTGCCAAGCACTGAACTCCATTACTCTTCTTCTTGTTCTTATCAGCTTACAAGATTTTAAGACCTTTGAGAAAAATACTTACCTGTTTCCAAATGACAACCAGAACAATAAGTGAGATGATGACAATCACCAACAGCACCAGGACTGCGGCCGCCACCGTGAGTTCAGAACGCAGAGCTAGAGGAGGGAGAGGGGCGAGGAACAATGTGTGAACATGCAGAAGGACAGGACAGTGGTGTGGCTGCGTCTGGACCAGAAATCTGCCACTGCTGGTGGACAAGCATGAGGGCTCCCTGGCTCGCTTTAGGGATGGGCAATGCTGTCTCTCAAACATCTACACACACGAAACTTCTCCACCTCTTCCCTTGGAAGAGAGAGGGACAAAATTCAATCAGAAGAATGCAATTATTTTCTCCAAAGGTGCTCCAATGTTAACTTTCTGGGCAGAACAGGAATCGGAATGTAAAAACCGATAAATGAGATTGAGAGCCACTGTAAGTTCAGAAACTTAATTTTGAAAGGTTTCATTTTGTTTATATTGCTTTTAGCTTCATTAATGATTTTTTAAAGACTTCAACCTGTCTCAGCTGTTGTAAGGAGCAACAACAAGGTAGAAGATCCTCCTTCTTCGTCCGCCACCCTCACACTCAGACTGCAGACAGTGGGTAGCTATCTGGTGAGACAAGCAGAGCGTTGAGGCTGTCTTGCCAGATCTGAATCTGAAAGAAAGGCTCCCACACTGATGCCCAGAGAAAGCCTTTCAAGAGCATTTGGAGCTGAAATTCTGCCTTGGGACCTTCACTCCTACAGGATCCCATCTGGGATTTGAAGTTCCACCTGAGGGACAAAGGGCTTGGCTGACCACTTAGCACTGTCCTGACTGACAAGCAACTCACTGGGAGCCACCAGCTTCAGCTCTCGATTCTCAGCCCCAAGGAGATTCTTTGCCAGACATCGAACCGCAATGGTCTCCTCCACTTTGGCGAAAGTCACTCTGCCCTCCACCGTACTCCTGTCTCGCGGGTGGACCTCTGTGATGATGTTTGAGATGTTGTTGGCCAAAATCATCCACGAGGTTTCATTATTACATCTAGAGAGAAAAAGGACACAGATATAGAGCCAATTATCAGGAGTCAAGGAGGTGAATGGAGCAGTGAGAATCGCTTAGACGGCAAGCAGTCTGACTGCCTGCACTTGGGGCTGCTACAGGTTGGCTTTCTTATCTTACATGCATGTTAACATTAAATGCCCCCGAGAAAGAATAGCCTACATATGGGTAGTTGAAAGTTAACTATTTATGAAAACACAGCAGATATAAGGAAGTTCAACAAACATAACTACCAATCCAAAGTCTTGAACTCATAAGAACAGTCTGACTTCAAGAATGTTTAAACATCCCAATTTCCACCCCCCCTTCAGAAAGGCCTGGTGCCCTCCCACCCCTTCACCCACACTGTGAAGAGCCCCTAAGGGTCACTAGGGTTGGAGCAAGCCCCTGGCTGAGTTAGGAAACCTGGATTCCAGCTCCAGTCAAGATCCAAGACTAATAGGGGATGATCTAAGAGTCTCAGCCTTCAGGAGAAGCAATCAAGGCTTCTGAACACAGCCAGTCTCCATGGATGGAGGTGCAGACATGGCACTCCTGTGTCCATTTGAGGAGCTAAGGAATGGGGGATGAAGAAGGAGCTGGTGAGTTAATTCCCACCAAACAGCAGGAGGCGAACAAGGTTGTGAGTGGTCACATGGGCAGTATTTCATTTATGTTCACATGCCCCTCCAGCTCCCAAATGAAGTTCACCATATAAGAAACGTGAAGTGAAAATGTGGACCAGAGTGGTAAAAATCATCTTAAGTACAATTTCTTTACATTCATCTTTTCAGATTAGCAACACTTTGAGAATCTGATAAAAGCAAGTGGATGTTCACAAACACACAAGTGCATGCATGCATATGTGCACACACACACTCACAGAGGTCCATGTTCAGAACCCTAATAGTTTATGAGGCTTAGGCTGAGTAAGAATCACAAATACAAAAAAGGGCCAGCAAAAGAAATAAAATGCATTTGAGGTCCTTTGCATTAAAGGAGAATACATTCTGACCACAAATGAATAGGAACATCTGGTGTCCATACTTCTTGATATCCTTGCAAATCATCCACTCAATATCAGGAAGAGGTGTCCCTTCAGCTGTGCATCTCACGGTCTGTCCCCCGGTAGAACCATGGTGGTCATCCACTAAGTCCAGAATAGATGAGGGAACTGCAAGATGTGGAAAGAAATCAGAATTGAATGGTTCATGTCCCAGGAATTCTCATGGCATTTGAACAAATCAAGTAATGACTGAGAGGGGGCAGAAACCAGTTGTGTACATAATAACTCTCTAGTTTAGACAGACCTACTTGGTTAAGAGCATTTCCAGTTTCAGGGTTTTGGAATATGTGCACTGAGGTGTTTTAAATCTGGAGTGAAGAAAGCAAAAAGCCCCTGTGGTTATCTGACTTGAAGGGCAAGGAGGGTCTTAAAAGCATATTATACCTTGGGATTCAACTACCGGATTCAGGTAAAGAATAATCTAAAGCAGTATTTACCAAAGTGCATCTGTGGGATATGATTAGGTTTTAAACATTTTTTTTAAAATCTATGATCAAATAAGTTAGAAACATGCTAATAATATCTATATCACAGATTTACTATGAGGGCCAAATGAACCCACTTAAGGCAGTACCTGGCATATGGTAGGTACTCAGCAAACAGGTGTTAGGCCTAAACAGGAACATACCTGGGCACTCCCTTCTGGCGGGGGTCACTGTCCAATGCTACAAGAGAAGCTAAGCAAAAAGGCAAAACTCTCTGGAACAATCTAAGGTCATCTGGACCAAAAAGCATCACTTCATTCTTTCCAAAATTAGAGGTGCCAGATTGACAAGCAGGTGGTAAGGAAGCTGCTGGAGGCTAGGACTCCCCAATCAAACTTCCAGAGTAGCCTGGAACCTTCTAAAGAATTGTGTGAGTTCATAAGTCCAACAAAGCCATCCCTGACTGCAATGTCTACAGAGCCTACTTCTCCCCTAAAAGTGTGACTTTTATCTCCATGACCTGGGAGAAAGTGCCAGGCTCTCCCTGGGAGGCACTCATTCACTGAGCTAGCATTATCTTCAGACTGCCCTTACATACCCTGAGTTAACAGTTCGAAAGTATAGCTCTTCACGTCATCTTCGTTTTGAACTACAATAGTATAATGGCCACTGTCTTCTTCCTTAGCACGGATCAGCTTTAATTTGCTTCGATACCTTAAAAGAAAAGGACTTTGTTTTAGTAAGTAGCAGCCAAATAAATTATAATTGCTTAAGTGATTACCATGTCCAAGGCAAATTTTATTTTTGTAAGAAGTAAAAACATCTTTTTTTCTTGTCCTTATCATTACTTCCTAGGATTTTCAATACACTTTCTATATATTGAAGTTCTGAGTTGTAGACACTTAATTCTTAAAAAGAGGACCAGACATTTTGAGATAAGCAATGGCTTATGTGGCTACAAGAGAAATTGGCTCTGGTAAGGTTTGACTTCTGAATGAAAATAAACACATCCCACCAACTTTCCTTTTTTTTCCTGAAGCCCTTGATTTTCACCTTTTAAAAAAATACTTGCTTCCCCTAAATATCCATCATTTAGGTAGTTCAGCCAAACACCGGACCACCACTGGGAGAAAGGAGGACATTGCCTACATACTGATATGGAGAAGTCACCAGGATAACATTCCCACATGCTTACATTTGTTTAAGGAAACTCTGGGAGGTTTCAAGAGAACCTAATGAAACTAATAAAAATATTTCTCTGTGAGTAGGGAGGAGGAAGGCCCTGGGCAGATGGGCAGGAGTGGAGTGAGGCTTCTTAAACTGCAACTTCTTTATGTCTGAATATTTTTAAAAAACAGGATTCCTTCATCAATTTAAAAAGTAAGAAAAACATATTGCTTCACACTTTATTAAAGGGAAGCTTCCCCAAAAATCATTTCTTACATGTATTATACTGACATTTGGCCATGTGTGGTGTGTGTGAGTGTGTGTATGTGCATCAATAAAGTGTTTGCCCATTTGGTGGTCCTTCTTTATAAAACATCACAGTGTGGAAAAGCAACTGGAACAGAGAACAGCACTGGCCACTGAGTGGGAGACCTGGGGTGTTCCTGGAATTCTCCACACCTGCCAGCCATGCAGGGTCACCTCACTGCACTCCAACCTCACAGCCTGGTGGGAAGTTTGGCACCGCCCACCTCCTCTCACACCTCCACTTCACATCATCAGAAAGCCTCCCTGACTCAGCGCTCCACTTCTTTCGCCATCACTGTTCAGAGCTTGTAACATTCCATTTTCTCAGATGCCACTTCTCAATTACACATGGCATCTAGTTCAGAAAGAGGACAGCAAATCCTGAGGTTAAGCGAACTGAGGCGAGTGGCTCCGTCTCCTCTTCCCTGAAGGCTTGAAATAGAGGGTTGTTGTTAGCCTCTGATAGTTTCTGACAAGGGCACAAGGCTCGACTGGCAGGGCCCTTCAAGATGCAGCTTCTGCTCCTGGATTCTAATCAGAGCTCAAAATTGAAAGACACCTCAAAATGTCATGTGATCCATTTCCTTGCCTTGAAGGACCTAGTTACTATTAACCATATGTTACACATGAGGAAACTGAGGCTGAGGGGTGACTTACGCAATGCTTCACCACTAGTTAAGAAATGATAGCATTCTACCATCTCACGAGGGCAGGGTTCCAAAATATTCATTGTATGTTTTCTCCTAATCAAATTTAACCAGATGCTACATTTCTTGTGGTGGCCTCACTGGGACAAATGCATTTCAAATTAAACCAATAATGTTTTGTTTCATGTGGTTTATGTGGTAATTGCCTCGCAACTAGAAACATCATACATGTCTACTTGCAGCACAAATAATGAATATCAAGGAATATATTCAATTCAAGAGGGGCCAATTTTACTTTCTTTCCTCCACCCCTGGCTGCACCCGGGAACCTCTCCTTCACTGGGAGCAGAGCTTTTCAGTTCTCTCTTCTCATTTTACCATTAGATACTTACCAGCATACCAGTACCCTCATTAAATGAAGGTAGCTGATTTCAAGTACCTCCTGTCTCAGATTGCTGAGTCTTCTAGTTTGACTCTTGGTTGGGGTTATAAGACATGTGCAAACCTCAGTCTACCTGGGGATAGACAAGGAAAAGAAACGGCATCCTTGGGAAGGGCATTTCTTTACCTTATTTCCTGAATCTTTTCTATGTCAGTGGTGATCTCAGTGAGATTTTCAATCAGAGTCAGGTTGTCCTTCAGCCAGGATATCCTGGGAGGGGGATAGGCCTCCACGTCCACCACAAAATGTTTGACTTCATGCAGGTCCACAGCTTCCAACTGGCTAAAGTTGGGTTTGATTTCAATGAACCCTTTCTCTGTACAGGGAAGAATTTCCATTAAATAAGGATTCCCACATAGTGGATCCCAAGCAGCATGGATGACTGACATTTTAGTAAGCAGAATGTACCATGGACAGAGATGGTGACTTTCTTCATTTCTTTGACCTCCTTGGTGGCCTGGCGTGCAGCACATTCGTAATCTCCGCTGTCTTTCACTGTGGCCTCAGGGACTGTCAGAGTGTACACCAGTTTGATGGATGGGACCTTGATTTCCTCGAGCGTTGTCCGGCCTTTGCCTTTCTACAGCAAAAGGGGAGGAAAAACGACTGTAAAAAGCTACTCCAAAGAGTAGGCCCCTGTGCACACTATGGACTGTGGATGATAATCATGCGCCAGAGAAGGTTCCTCCATTGTAATGAATGTACCACCACATGGGGATGGCGATAATGGAGGAGGCTGTGCATGTGTGGGAACAGGAGGTATATGAGAAATTCTGTGCCTTCCACTCAGTTGTGTTGTGAATCCAAAAAAATAAAGTATAATAATTTTTTTTTAAAGCTGGCTCCTTAGAAGGTCATGTTTTTAAAGAATATTTAATGAAATACTTGGGTGTTTGTGATATACTGCCAAAGGAAAAAGGATAGAACAGAGTACTATTTAAAGTATAACACCTATTAATTATTATATTTATCTATGTATACAAAGTATTTAAAGGACTTAACTCCCTAGAATATTAACAGTGATATTCTGGGAAGAGGTTTTCCTTCTGTTTCTCTACATTCAATAAAATTTCAGCAATAAACCTGAATTATTTTTACTATCTAACAAAAACATGTTTTATAAAACAATACTTTGATTATATATTTTTTGGTCAAATAGCATGTACTTTGATTTTGGGGGAAAAAATGTCTACCTGCAATAAATGAAATGTTTATGTTTTAGGGATTAAAGGCAATCAAGTATGAACAGAAAAATCAAATGGTTTCATATTTCAAGGAAGAGTTACACATACTGGACTATGAATGTTTCTTCAAAGCAAGAGGTTTATAAGGCAATATATGAAAAAGCCCAACTTCCAATCAGCTGCTCTGGAGAGAGAAATGGATAAAAGGACAGAGGTTACCGAGAGCAGGGAACAGAATTTCAAAAATTAGAAAATGAAAGAAAAAAAATATATGTATGTTGGTTTTTGTTTTCCATAAGGCTGATGTATTAAACAGTTCATCATTTCTGCATTGGACTATCACGGCCTTTCCTGTACACTCACTGCACTGCATTGGCATGAACGAGACCCTGTGCACACATCACCAGTAACCTAGAGATGGCATACGGCTTCCCTTCCCCAATTCCATCTCCATTTCTCCCTTCTCCCAGCTCTAGCAAAGTGCTTGGGATTTAGCAAACATCACTAAATCTCTGCTGAATGATTCAAGTGATGCCTATTCATTGAAGTTAAGCCATGCCAAGAAAGATCTGGAAGGTTGGAGGCAGAACAGAGTCCTGGGTGGCAACAAAACATAAATGGAAGAGGCCCAGGCAATCAACATTATCAAATGCCTCAAGTTCAAAGCATGGAAGCCAAGAAAATGAAAATTAATGACTCAGCAATCACCATATTTTAAAAATCCATTTGTTTTTTTGCTTTTCTAATTTTTTGGCTGTTATCTTGTAGCCATAGAATCTTCCTATTTCTTTCGGACTTAAGAAAAAGAAGGCTCAGTGTAAAATCTCTATGCATGTTGAAGGTCCTAGTCCAGCTACTGTCATCTCAAACTCTCCCATGGCTCAAAAAACTAGAAAGTCATCTAGTCAAATGTGCTCATGGTACAGATGGAAGCTGAGCTCTCTAAAAGCCTGGTGTCATGCCCTGTCACTGACAGGTCTTTTAAGCCCTGCTGTGCCCCACTCATGCCACCAGGAGCCGTGAAAGTACCTACCACTTCTCCAGGGTAAGTCCACTGAAGGTCAACCACCTCGTTGTTAAAGACGGCGCAGGTGACCACAATCGTGTCCCCCGACTTATATACAGTTTTAAGAGCTTCCATTTCTAGATCAAGTTCTGATGTTGCTGTTTTAAAAAAAAAGAACAAACATGATGACCCAAATATCCACAGTATAGTTAGGATCTTATAAAGTTTGTTTTTTGTTTTTTATTTTTAAGAAAACCCTGAAATAATTTGCAAAACCACTTTGATCAAGAAAAATTTTGAAAATCTCAGAAGCTTTGATTTTGTGTTGGCATATGCGATTTGGTATTTACCTAGAATACAAAGTAATACATACACACAAAAAAACAATAGTAAAAATAAATTTCAATCAAAAAGAACACCTCATTCCTGAGCATTTGGGTTAATTAGGGCTGTCCTCCTCCGCAATCACCTTTCCTGATGTGTTTACCCACTTAAGCAACCAACCCTTTGCAAGCAACAAGCCTCAAGGCACTTTGCCTCCATCCCCATCATTTACTCTCCTATTCTCTGCCACTCCTCTACGCAGTTATTCTTTGCACTTTTCTAGAACCTAGCACAGTGCATGGCTTAAATTAAGCCCCTTGTAAGAGTTAAATAGCAAACTCAACCGCTGCCATACCTACATGGGAGTGTTCAATAAGTCTATTGACTCAACTATGTATTACACTTTCCCATTCACATGAATCACTCACATCAAAGGGATGACTACAACTACAAGCTTTTCTCAAAATTGAAATCACTTTTCTTAAGTTACTAAAATTAATCTAATCTAACCCCCACAGGTGTGTGTTTGTTTTTAGGGCCTCTGTAGTCAGGAATGTGAGTAAGAGGCTTATGAAAGAAAAGAATTCCTTACAGTTTTTTCAATCAACTGATGAAACATGAAATCTTACAGGGGTAAGAAAGCTTTTGCCTTTAGTAATGCTAAGCTTAGTATTATTATAACCATAGAGGTCAGCTTAATATTGTATGGTAAAGGTGAGGTCCTAAAATCCCAAAGATTCACAGTCTCTGTCAGCAGGGACTATGATTTTTTTTTAATCCTACATGCATCTGATTATTTTGCCTGTAGCTCTTATTTAAAGAAGGAGGGGGGGTGTACAAGTACCTTTTAAAGCATACACATTAAATGGGATGGTCTGGAACTTCTTCCCTCTGACAGTAGCCTCACAGATATAGGGCCCAACACCGAAGGTTCCGTTAAAGCCCTGTCTGCTGTCATAGGAGGCCGTCACTACCCCGTCACTGCTGAGTAAGGTCACCGGGGTCTCAGGATCAGTTGTGCGACAAGGTATGATGGCAGAATCATCATCCTCCACAATGACTAAATAATCTGTCATTCCTAGAGGTACAAAGGCTACATCTGGGTCTGTGATTTAAAAAAGGAAGAAAAACATCTTAGGTACTAATTTCACCTTTACACCTACATGCAGAAAAATTATCCCACTAGCATTAGCCATATTAGGTACAAATTATGCCTTCACATATATAGCCCAAAGTGTCACCCCATTGACAGTGATCATGCTAACAGCTAGAAGGTGATTTTAAAGGATGAGCAATACCAAATTGCCTAAACCCTAATAAAAATTACTGATTATAATATAAATATTATCCAGGAATTGAAATCAAAATTTAAACAGCCATTCAAAACAAGAAATGGACAATAATTGACTCTATTCCAAACAAGAAAAAATTTTCATCCTTTTTAAATATTGAAATGTTTTTTAAAATTCCTACAACCCACAGACAGTATTATTGAAAAGTAGTATAGAAGCCTATCTATTAAAAAATAATCTGTCAAATAATAAGTACAATTTATAATTTCATAGTCTGAGAATTTCCTTTTCAAAAGAAAACCAGCTGCTTAGCAGACTCACAGTCCCCAAGAAGGGACTAGCAGTTACCAAAGGGGACAGGTGAGGGAGGGCGGGTGGGGAGGAGGGAGAAGGGGATTGAGGGGCATTATGATTAGTACACATGGTGTGGGGGGTTATGGGGAAGACAGTGTAGCACAGTATGACTCTGTAGCATCTTACTACACTGATGGACAGTGACTGCAATGGGGTATGGGAGGGGACTTGAAAATATGGGTGAATGTAGTAACCACAATGTTTTTCATGTGAAACTTTCCTAAGGGTGTGTATTAATACCTTATTAATACCTTAATAAAAAAGAAAAAAAGAAAGAAAAACAGCTGCTTAAACTACTGTGGTAAGAAATACTGAGACTCTCAAGCATCAGTTTCAGAAAGGGCTCTGTACTCTCCATAACTAAAAATAAAAACATCTCTAATTGACAATAAGGCAGGGCCCACTTGGGTGATGTTTGGGCTGAAGGGAGGCAGGAACAAGAATTTTTGGATGATCTTAGGTGATCAGAACTCCAAGATTTATATATGTTTAGCAAACCCACGTTCCCACCATTCTTTCATAGCAGCGGACATTTATGTGTGAATGAAGTTGGAGTGACATTCTAAACACCTACTTTTGTTGAAACATTTTTTTATTGTTAGGAAGGAAGGTTCTTATAGATAACAGGATCATGAAAGAAGTGAAGAGGGTCTAGATCTATGGGGTGCCCACAGTAACTGAGGCAGGAAGAGGAGCCAATTTAAAAAACTTAAAAAGAAAAGGCAGAAAGGTAGGAACCTATACTTCAGAAGCCCCTTACCTTACCTCTGCCAAACAACAAGGATGGCAAGAGTTGTAAGTGGTTTGTATGTGTTTGTTTGTTTTAAACTAAGCACTCCAGCTATAGCCCCCTTGAATTTACATTTTGACATTGTCATTACTTGAATTTGCATTTAGAGTTCCAAATTGTAATCCAAACTGTTAGCAAAGATTCCAGCAAACAAAGCTGTTAAATTTCAGGTTAAAATTCACAGTTTGGTATCCATAACACATCAGCCAGGGCTTCCTGTAAAATGCAGGTTTTCCTGCCATCATGTACCATCTGTGCATTGTTTAAATAATGTCATGGTCCTTTTAATAGCTTGCCCTTGGTACAAGTGAATATATATAGATAGGGATGCAGATATGAGTATAAATATAGATATAGGTATAGACAGAGATTCAGATACAGAGGAACAGATAGACAGGTACAGATAAGGATATAAACACCAATACAGATATAGAAACAGTTGTAAGTAGATACAGATACATGTACAGATATAAATATAGGTACAGATATGGATCTAGATTATTATAAGGAAGTGCACAGAAAAAGCTAGCTGGGTGGGAGACCAAATGCATATCAAGCTCATAGCTAAGAGCGGTTGATTAGGGTGGCCACTGTGAGAAAACAAAACACATTCCCCCCTACAGAGGCTGGCTCTAAAATCCATCACAACCCAAGGCTGTGCCCCCCAGAGATGCTTCCAGCCAATGACTGTGTGGAACTAGGGTTCCTTTGGCAGGAGCACCCGGGGCCTCCTTTACAGAGGTTTGGACTACCCCACCTTCCTCCCTTCTCACCTCACTTCCAGTGCAGGTGGTAGCTCTCCCAGCCTCTGCTGGTCCCTCCCAGAACCCTCTCATTGGCCTCCCCCTACTAAATCGTTTGCATGCTTAATCCCATCTCACTCCTATCCACATCTGCTTCTCAGAGGACACGAGACAAAATCATTAGTATGCCATTTGCCCTTAAATTTTAATTAGAAAGAAAAAACTCCTTCTAACTCGTCAAGAGTAAATACATGTTTTATTGAATCTGAAAAATAGTGCTGCTGTCTGGAAGCTATTTTAATTAACTATATGCAACTCCCAAGATAGGGCCTACCTAATTAACTTTTGTTTCAGTTTCTGAAACACAGTAAACACAGAGAAAATATTTGCTGAACTTGACTGAATTGAATAGAAATGGTACATTTGAGATTTTTTGCACAATGCCAATGAAAGACATGCTATAATGAACATTATTTTCATAACTTAATACAGTTACAAAATGTTAACAATGACTATTTCTATACAGTGATATTATAAATGATCTTGATTTGTGTTCTGTATTTTTCAAATTTTCTCCAAAAAACATTTATTATTACTATATTTTTTAAACTCAAATACAGTTAACAGGTGAGACAGGACAATAAGGAGTTTGATCCCGGGCACCCATTCAGCTCACCTGGTACATAGATGTAGATTCGTCTGCCTTCAATCTCATTTTCCTCTGTCTGAGTGTGGTTGTAATAGCAAGTGTACAATCCCGTGTGGGCTGCGGAGGCATTGACCACTGCCAGCACTGTCACAAAAAGGCCACTGTTGTTCTCCTCATTTCTGATTTCCACATTGGGGTTCTCTTCTTCAGACATGGGGTACTGCCAGCTCACTTCACTCTCCCCAAAGCAGCTCAGAGAAAAGGATGAATTCAGCCGCACAACCTTTTCATTTTCATTTGGAAGGATAGAGGGCAATGAAAGCTGGCAGAGGATTAGGCTCAGCCCTGTAACAGGAAACATGCTCTGAATAGGATGCAGCCAGAAAGGACAGTCTCACCCAGAGAACTAAGAAAAGCAACAGTAGCAGCTTATATGAACAAGAACCATTTCTCTACAAAATCCCGTTAGCCTGGATGCCCATGAAAGGCCCCCGGTGATAACAGCCTACACATCTGCTGAGAGCAGCAAATGCTCCGGAGGCCTCAAGAGGCCCCCCAAACCCCCCAGACTCACCCCTCCAAACACTCAAATGGATAGAGGACGTCTGATTCCAATTCCATATTTTAGACTCTTATGTGTGACCATAAAATATCCCAGGATGGCATAGGCTCAAACACATATGGTTTCTTTATTGTCCACATTCCCTGCAGAGGTTTCCCTTAGTAAGAAATGGGATGCGAACAGGGGTGGGGAGGCTGAACAAAGCACAAAGCAGATCTGCACTTAGGAATTATGCATCTTTCATTTCTTATGACACTCTGGCATGCCTTCTCCCTAATGACTTCCAGAAACCAAAGCAGGGCAATGTGCATTTTAATTCAAAAATAAGAATAATTAAAGCCCAAGAGTGAAAAGTCTGTGTTCATCTTATAACTTAAAATTCTAGCCTAGCTTCCCCTGTCTATAAAACTGATAGAAGAGGTACTATGACTTAATTAATGGTCAATGGTCTCTAATCTCCCTCTGAGGCCCATGTAGGGATCCCACCCAACTTCAGTGTGTGCCCACTATGTTTCCTGCAGCTTGTTCAGACAGACATTAAGTACATCCTATTATTGGTCACCTATTATTCTGTAGACTGGGGGTACTTAGTGGAGTTTAGAACTACACAATCACTGATCTTGCTCAATTTTACCATAGCCATAGAGATCAGACCTAAAGACACTAATAGTCTTATGTTAACTCCTCAGACTAAAAAAACCTTGGTTTCATGGTAAACATATGTAATACGACGTGTCTGGATGAAAACTAAGAAAGTCCAAGAAATATTTCAACAAATGGCACCAATGGTATCCTTTTGGTGGGAAAGAGTTAGTCAGCTTCCCCAAGAGTCAAATATTCTATCAATTAGATTCCAAGAGAAAAGGTGGCTCTCAGATTTTCCAGGCAGTTTAAGCATCTTCCACTTAAGACAGGTATGACCTAAAGCAGGTATGATTTCCTGCTCAAGAATTTTCTATCATTTATTTCCTTTGAATATTCTTGAGTTTCTCTGATCCACCTCTACTGGAAACCCATATCCCAGGAAAAGAAAGATGTCAGTGGGTAAATGTGTGCTATTATTCCTAACAATTCAATGCCAGGATTAAGATACACTAAATCACCACTGGAGGGCATTCTTTCTTAATTGAAAGTAGTGCAATACAGCCAAGGGAACTGAAGGTCTGTGGTCATTCCATGCCTTTGACTCTCTTGGACTGTGTGTGCAGAGTACAGGTAATGAATGCACTCTCAGAGCACAGAACTCAAAAAACAAGGCTTTCCCCACGACAAGGAACTCGGAGAGGACTTGACTCCATACCTGTGAGCAGACAGCCTGAGACCAGGAGGGCCCGATGGGAAGTCCCCATGGCTCTGGAAAACTGCTAAAGGCAAAAGGCAAACAGAGTGTTAGCCAAAAAACAACCCAGGAGCCTCGTTTTTGTTGTGCTTTGTGCTATGGAAAATGTTAACAGCCTTATTCTAAACAAAAACATCCCAGTTTAAGCTTCACAGTCCAAGCAGTAAGATGCCAAAGACAAAAGAATCAGAAAGCCTGATGGGGCCCCCAGTCACGACAGGAGCCATGTGAAATTGGAATCCTTTTGGATTGCATGCAGCTTTCAAATTCCAAAAAGTCTTACTTTAGTGTCTTGGAATGTGTCCAACAGTACAGGAGAACTGTTCCTTTTAAATCATTTAAATTAAGAATGTGGAAAACAAATAAACATATGTATTTACTCAACTTCCAAAATGGAACTGTTTTCTGTCAAAATAGGTTCATTTGCTCAATGTTTCACTACAGAAAGTACATGAAGGTCACATCCTCTAAGACCTTTAGAAAAGATGCGTGGGCTGCAACAAATATCTTAATATTTAAAAGCCTTTCTGATCTAGAGTTTTGAAAGTCCCACTAACCAATGTCACTTAGAGGATGTCACTGTGTGATACACAGGCCCGTGCCACGTTCAGGCTGGGTTCCCAGCGGGTGCTCTCCTTGGACCTGCTGCACTCATGGTCCGGCTAAACAAGGCACAAGGAGCCTGGGGCACAGGCCCAGAAAGAGGGGAGAGGAGCCCTGGGCGTGGGCATGGAAGGAGGGGCAAGGAGCCTGGGGCGTGGGCCTGGAAGGAGAAGTGGTAAAGAACGTGGAGAAAGGAGAAGAGACGGTAGAGAAAAGTGTAGCTCAACTCCTGTGTTTCAGGGAATGCAGTAAGATGTTAGATAAAATTCAGTTAATACCAATGATTCGTTTTCACAGTGACGTAACATGACCCATGGAAACCAAGTTCTTGACTCTGATTTCCTGCAACAAAACCTGTTTGCTTAGCAATCATGTATAGAAGAGAAGTGGAGATTGAAACTGAATGACCATAAAAAATGAGTGGGGAAAGCAGTGTGGGCATGAAGAAAGGTGATCAAAGAAAATTAAAGGAGGGAAAAAGTAAAGAGGAACCCAAGTTGCCCTGAGGTAAAATCACTGAAGGTCTGTTCTTATCAACCCTCTGAGAAAAAATCTTTTTTTAATCTTCTTCTTGTCATGCACACACCCACTCACTTTATCTCTGACTCCACTTTCCATATGAAGTCTGATAAAGTGATCTCACTGAAGTCAGTGAAAAGGAACCACGGGCTTGCAGGTGCTGGGGTTGCTGAGCATCCAAGATTCAACTGAAGAGGCCCACTGAGGTCACCTGCAGGGACTGCTCAAAATCCTAACTCGTGCAATGGCACACACTCACGGGAGTTAATCTGTTACCCCACTGACTTTGGAAACTAAGGTGCATATACATGATTGCTAAGCAAACTTTGTCTAAAAAACAAAAGAAAAATGAGGAATTAAATGCATGCCTGTGTTTACCCCTTGGCTTTCCTCCCCCTTTTTGCTTTAAGGTGACAAGGAGGCCTACTTGCAGAAATCAGATTTCTGCTTCACTGAATTCTACCAGCAAAATGGACGAGGAAGAAAGACAGCATAAAATATGGAATGCTCGAAACAGGGAGCGGGGATGGGCTGGATGGGAAAAAATGATGAGTGTTTTCTCCAAGGCAGGAATGAGAAACCAATATTTACTAGACCAAAGTTTTCATGTGTATACCATGTTTATTAATAATAACCCTGTGACATATTTGATTTAAGAAGCCAGTTGGGACTCAGAGAGGTTTAGCAAAGAACCCTAAGTCACACAGTTGGTGGTAAAACCAGGATTCTAACACAAGGACTGTGTGACACAAAAGCCATACTCTCTCCAACCCACCATATGGTGTCTTTCAAGGGAAGACTGATGTTTCAGCCTTGTGTATCTCGACACCCCCCCCCCCACCTCCCTGAAACTATTTCCTAATGCAAATTCGGGCCCTGCTTTCCTTCTCTGCTCACCACAGTGAGGTAAGCACAATTGCAGTGCTGTGAACCCAAATGCAATTTGCACAATGCTGGCTGGCTGATGGCTTCTGAGGGTCCTGAAATGTGCCTGGGGAAGCAGGGTTTCCTCGCTGCTGCGGTGATGGGCACAGCGGGCCCCAGAGTCAGGCTGGCCAGCCTGATTTACCACAATTAGCAGTAAAGGCCTGTGTGTTTGCACATATAAATATCAGCCTCCCACTGATAATCCACTTAGCAAACTTCAAAGCAGCGCTCCAGAAGCAGCTTGATGTCTTGGGTTTTTATCACATTTATATCCTGTATTTCTTCAGCAGGGCTTGCCAATGATGCATCTTTAAAGCATTCCCAAGCTTAAGGGAAAGGCTCGCTGCTTTTACAGGGCAGACTCTGAAGAGTGTTTTGCCTGGGCCCAGCCCCTCACCCCAGATTTCCTTCTGTGAGCCCAGACACACTGGACCGGCTGCCAGAAAGGATTATTTACTGACATACAAAGTGGGCAATGAAAACAGGGCCTCAGAGCAAGCGATAATGCTATGAACACTGGAAATCAACATGTGTTGCTTAAGATTTCAAACTCTCTTCTCTAGTAAGAGTGGTTCCCTGAAATGCAGGCGTATTTGTGAAATGTCATGTCATTACTCATCTATAATTCAGACAATTTACTCGTTAATAATTGTAGTGTTTGCCCAACAGGGAGTTAATGGAAGACAAGGGGAGAGGATGGAGGCCTCCCTCCCTGTTGCCTGGCTGGGTAGTCCTACTTGCTGTTTCAGGTGCTTTTCTACTCTGGGAGTAAATGCTCATCCTTAATCAGTAACCCCTATCCTGGAGCTTATCCAAAAGTCAGATGTGCAAATGTACGTAACTGAGGTTACAAATTCAGAGAAACATGGCACGTTATGAGTCAGCAAAAAACAAATCACTTTGCAAGGAAGAACAATGGACTTAATCCAAATTTTTGTTTTAAAACAATAATTTCTCTCATGCCAACTGTAAGTTGGACTTCAGTCTCAGTCCTTTATGATCATAACTTAAAATGCATTGTCATAAGATACTGAAACAAATAGGGAAAAGAGATTTCTGCCATAGTCACACCCACGCCAGTGACTTCTTGTCCCCCCAATCCCCATTATCTTGTCCTTCTCATTCCTCCTCTCAGAAGAGATGGTGGCAATCACAGTGGACTAGGCTGTGGTCCTATATCTGACACTTAGTCCATCTCTCGAAATCAGTTTCTTTTTCTGTAAACTGAGACTAGTAACACCTGGCTTGCTGACTTCCCTAACTGCATTACTTACAAAGATTAAATTATATCGTTTAATCTAAAGTGCTTTGGGAACTGCAGCTATTGGTTTTCATAATGACTCTTTTGTTGTGAACTCCTACAATATTTTAGATGAGAGAGACATCAGAGTGGCTACTTCAACTTCTACTTACTGAGAAAGTCAGACCCAAAGGCTATCTGACTTGCCCTACATCACCTGCACAGACAAGTGGATCTGAACTCAAATTTAGCAAAGGCCTGGTGTAGCTATCAAGACGACCGAGCCAATATATACAGTCACAGAAGCAGAGAAACATCAGTTTTCAGCCTCTATTCTTTAACAGGTTGCGGTCTCTGTATCTGCAACAGATGCAAAGAGCCATTAAGTGTGACTATCAGCAAAGACACCATGCTAAACTGGAGGAAATGGAGAGCAAGCAATGCAGGGCCACTGTTTCCAGACCGAAGAGCACAGCGTTCTTTTCATAAAGCTGCCAGCCAGCTTGCCCATCACCAACTGCACAATGCATCCTACTGCAGAACCACTGCATATTGTATTTCACTCCACCCTGGCATGATTAAAGGCCACAGGAGACTCTCTCACAGTCCCAAGAGCCACTGACGACTTCAAGATTCAGAGTCTCAGGTTCAGTTAATTTCAGCTCTCCTAAGTTAACTCTAACTGTGAAAATTACATACCCTGCTTTTTCCCTGTGACAGATGTTCTACTCAGACTTGTAACTGCAGCCCAGGCAATCTAAAGGATGGTCCACCCTGGCGGCAACTTCACAGAGGGTGTGTTACCAGGATCTGCACAGCACCAGATCCTGTTTTGTTGTTTTGATCTCTCTGAGCTCCATTAGACATTCCAGTGATGGGCGGGATTGGAGAAGTTTTACATAGGAGCATTTTATGGGACATTTTGAGCTCTTCAAACTTTCTGCTCTCCCTGTACCAGATATTTAGTCATGTTAGACTAAGATAGCACTTCCTTTTGATTGTCACTAAACTGGTGTGACTCCTAATGAAACAACCTTGGGTTTGGAAGCTTGTGGTACACTTGAGATCAAGATCACCAGGCCCCAAACACTAGAGCTTCACTCATAAAGGGAAATTCGAACACCCAACCTATCTTCTTCACGGGTCTGCTCTGATAATCAGATATGGTAGGTCAGCCCTTTGCTCATTACATAAATGCAAATGATTAAGGTGCAAAACTACATAAAGGCCTACAAAGTATATGTAGTCAGGCCATTGATTCTTGCAGCTTTACAAGAAAAGAAGCCCAATCACCATCTTCCACTTGGTCCTACCAAACAAAAAATGCATCCTCTGATGTCAAGAATCTCCCGCGGAGCCCACTGCCGCAGACGGTAGCTGCAGTTCTCAAATATGGCCAGCAGATGGAAGTGTTGATCCAAGGACCTGCATTCGGGGTTCGCGCGAACGCAGATGCCGCTACTGTACATCAAGTTCTGTACTAAAATGTCCCAGATCTTAACTTCCAATATCTTCTTTTCTTTAATTATACTTTCAGGTTTCGTGGTGACCTCAGTTCGAAGCCCACAGAGCAGAAGCAGGAGCTGGGAAACTGCTGCCGAAAATGCGTAACTCCCCGCTGGGCCCCAGAGGAATGCCCTGACGCACAGGGCCCAGCGAGGTCCGCGGCGGCAGTGGGGTCTCGCGGGCCAGGAGCGGCGCTGCCAGCCCGGCCGCAGAGGTTCAGCAGGCACAGCAGGAAAGGCTCCTCGAGAAGAGGTTGGGTGGTTCGGGGTTTTGTTAGCCAGCGCGCTCCTCACCTCGGAGTCCACTCACTAGCTGCAGGCAGACCACCTGGGCCGCCGGGGCGGGGTCCGCGACACCGTTGTCCGGCCCGCGCCGCCCAATCTGTTCTGCTGTCACCCCTCGTAAACCCACGCGGCGGGGACCGCGACGGCCACTCGGCCCGGGGGTCGAGTGCTGAACGGGAACGACTGTTGCCGCGGCACAACAACGCAGGAGGGTAACACAAACAAGCCACAGGCCGCCTGCGCGGCCGGAGAGCGTGCGAGGTGCTTGAAAACAACAAACCCCCACCAGTCCCTGAGAGAGCCTACGTCCTCCGTTTCTCCCACATTTAATTCTAACGAGGCCCCTACTCTATTCCCAAACCCGGTGCCCTCCGCCCCCTCTCGCCCACCCGGCGCCTGCCGGGCCCACACAATGCCTGCGGGTCGCCTCTCTGAGCCTCCAGAAGGAGGAGAGGTGGCCGAGGTTAGTCTTCCTGGGGCCGCCTGGGTCTCCGCACAGAGCTCCGACGCGGCTGCGACGCCGAGCGCCCGAGGCTGGCGGCGAGCGAGACCGCGCTCGGGAAGCTCGCTAGAGGGCGCAGCAGCCCCGCAAATCTTACCCGCACGGCTCCCTGGCAGCTGCCCGCCGGCCGCTCAGGCTCCGGGTCCCCGACAGCTCACCGGGACGGCGGCTCGACCACTTCGCCGGGGAGGCTCTGTGCCGGCACCGCCCGGCCTCCAGCCTCCAGCCCCCAGCCCCGCCGCACCCGCCACACCCACACAGACACCGGCGCGGGCCTCTCCCCCTCCCGCCGCCTCCACGCCCTGGGCTGCTCGGTCACCACAGGATTGGCGGCGGCGACCACCCGCTCCGGGCTTTAGCGCCCCTCTCCGCCGCTCTCCTGGCCTCAGAGCTGCAGCGGACGCTGTGCCCCAGGCTCGACGTTTGGCGTTTGCATTGTTTTCGCCTGAGACCTGAAAGGGGGCTGGACGGGGTGGAGGGAGAGGGGCCCGGAGGGGTGGAGGGAGAGGGACCGAGGGGTTTAGGGTTACAGTGGCGCGCGAGCGCCTCCTGTGGGCCCGAAACCGACACGGCCGGGGATAGCTGCCTGCCAGAAGGCCGAGCTCGCCGAGACTGCGCCCCCATCGGCTCTAAAAACCCGGCCACCCCTGCGCCCCACTAGCCAGACGCTCGCCTCGGCCGCGGCTGCCCAGCACCCGCAAGCGCCCGCCTGCGCCTCCCTTTTGCGGGAAGGGGAAGATGACTGTAGGCAGGGAAGGGAGTGCCCCAAGTCCGAGGTCCTCTTTATCCCCTCCGATTCTCGTTTCCAACCGATCCCTGTCTCACTGTTCAGTTTTAAACAAAAGGGAATGCCGCTGTGCCACTTCAGCAAAAGACAAGCACCGGCAGAGCGCGGACTACTGCGCAGTGGGGAAAAACAGGTCGCCCCGGCGCTGCATGCCGCGCTAAGAGCAAGCCCTCAGGACCTCCCCATCCTCACACCCCGACAGCAGATACTGCGCGCAGACCCCGCGAGACCGGAGGGAGGGACGCTGAGTGTCGCACCTTTTGGTCACCGAAGCAAGCTATTAACTTTCCCCTCAGAACCTCCGCTTTTCCATCAGCAATAAGTAACCCTGTTGCGGATCCCGGAGGCCACAGGGCTCCCCAAGCTCAGGGGTCTGCAGCAAGGCGCTGGCCACCACGTCCCCAGGTCGCGTCCTGGAGCTGCGCACCGCCCACGGCCGGTCCTCAGGAGGCACAAAACGGGCCCGCCTCGGCGCCAGACGCGTTTGCAGCTGGAAAGCCCAGCCCAATGCTCCTCCCCTTGCACCCCTCCTCAGTCTGCGCCCGGGAAAGAAAGCCGACTTGGGGCCGAGAGCCCGGGCTCTGCTTCGGGTCCATCTCGATCTACGCAAGGGCTGAGGGGCAGCTACCTTCCCGGTGCCACTCTTCGTCCTCCCTGCACACAACAGCGTTCTCGGTACTCCAATCCCGTAGTCCAGCTACACTTGGTTCAAACAAAAAGCAAGACTGTTGAAGAGCCCGAAGCAAGGGCTGACTAGGGAAGCAAAGAGGATGGTCGGGCCCTGGCCTGTTGGAAAGTGGGGAAGAACCCCCTTTATCTTGAGGACTCTGGAAAGAAGGAAGCCTAGGGGAAAGGAATGCATGAAGCAGCACCAGGGTCCGGGTGGGTCAGATGGGGATGGGGCGGGTCGGGGGGTGTTAAAACCAGAGCCAGCGAGGCAGCGGAGGAGGTGCGCACGCCGGGAGCTTCCCGTCCTCCTCTCCAGAGGCCCCCGGGCTTGCTGGACTCTGGGGTGTTAATCCAGAGAGCTGTGCGGCAGATGGTCTCGCCGCGTTTGCTCTAAAAAGCTGCCCAGTTCTGGTCGGGAGCGACCGCGGCGAGGCGAGTAGGTCCAAAACCTTGAGCAATTCGGCTGCGGAGCCAAAAAGCCATTTCCCACACAGCACAGCCCGGGGCTTTTCCAGGCGGCTTGGCCGGCAGCGGAGCATCCGGACGTGATAAGGGCTGTCCACGCTCCCTCTCCCACTCCGGTTTGCCTCTCAGCGAGCTGGAGTGGGTGGCAAGTTCTCCCTGGCACTCCTGCACTTTCTGCGGTCTTAGCAAGGCTTTGGGAGCAAAGTGTGGGGCGGGCGCTGCTGGCTGAGAGACGGACGGAGGATATACAGACAGCCTGGCACTTCCTTTCCGGCTAAGAGGCTGGGTCAGGCCACTGGCAGCTCTCGCACACCTGGCCAGGCGACCCAGGCTCCTGGCCCTCTCGGGCAGCCGTACTGCGGCCGGGCCACGCGACCCTGTCAGAACGGAACCCCTGGTCCCAGCAGTAACTGAGCCAAGTGGCGCTGCCGGGAGAAGTTAATCTCACTCGTAAAAGCCTATTTCCACGGGGATAGGTGGTGGAGAAAGGAGAGGCGAGAGGAGACCACTCCGAAATGGGCAGGGAGAACGGGGCAGAGAGTGGAATAAAGACAGAGGCCACTGGAGAGGTTGAAGCAGCGCAGCACGAGTGCAGGCGGCGAGTGCCACACATCCCAACGCAGAAAGGGACACAGGAGGAAATGTTCAGGTCTCGGGTACCGGAGGGAGCTAGTAAGGCAGTTCGCCTCCCGCCTTTGCATCTTACCTGGGAACCGAGTTTCTCCGTTTGGAGTTTTCCTTAACTTCCCCACGAGAAGTTCACCGCTTTTTTGGCGACCTTCCTTCTTTCCTTACTGCCTCCGGGGCTGGTCAGCAGCAGAGTGCCCCGCCTTTGCAGAAACAAGTCCACCGAGGAAGGGGGCGCGCAGGGACGGGTCGGGGTGGGGGGTACACCGGCACAAAGTGAGCCCCTTGGAGCACAGTTCGAAATTACTCAAATCCCAGTTGTTGGAATGCGAGGCGACGACGACTTCTTCACTCGGGACCAAATGGGTGTGTCATTACTACAGACCGCCTGCCCGTCTGCCTGCGCCGCTTCGCCCCTGCGCTGGGGAGCGCAATCCGAGCGCACTGCGGGGCCGGTGCCCGCTCTCCCTCGCACGTCACTGATCCCACAGACCGCTGGGGAACTCCCTAAACCCTCGTCCCTCTGAGCCCGCTCTACGGGTCTTGCAGACACTACCGTAGTGTTGAGACTCGCCCATCCAAACGCCAGTAATTACCAGCCCTCGGTCGGAGCCATGTGCACCCGGCGAGCACGCAAAGTCCAGCCTTCTCCAGCCGAGCCCTTCACGCCTCCCCTCCTCCTACTCCTGCCGCCGACTCGGCGCTCCTCTCTCCCCACCTCCCCCGGTCCTCCTGCCGCGCTCCGCTCTACTGGCTGCGGCGCTGTCCCGCCAGACCGCGGGCGAGAAATGAAAATACTCATTAGAAACCTGTCGCCTTCCAGGACCCACTGCCAAGAGAGGGCAAACACCTCCGCCCCCGCTTCCAGCATTACTTGGTGCTTGTCCCAGTGTGCTCGAATACCACCCCCAACCCCAAAAGAAACCTCAAATATGTAAGCCTAAACAATTTCTTTGGGAGGCCATAGAGTTGTTAGAAAAACACCACTTTTAAAAATAGGCCTGGAAAATGTTTTTTGTTTTTTTTTATCCCTAGACTTTGGAACTCTGGTTATCTTTCCTCCAAGTTAAGTTTATTCAAAATAGATTACTCTATGGACACAACTGGAATTCAACTGCAATTCTTTTTTTCTCATCGCCCAAAGTTTGAGTAAAGTTACTTCATTTCTTCTGGCCCAAAGGGCCCGATCAAGGACCTCTCTTAGAAACAAGAAATCATTTTTTCCTCCTCCCTTACCTTCTCCTCCTATGTCAATTCACAATAAAAATCCTACATATGGAGCAAAAAGTATATCCACAGCCTCCAGTCCTCTCTGTAGTCTTTCTTCTGTTTCTCTCCCTCTAGCTCCAACTGTAATGGGCTCAAAAACCGCTTTTTGTAATTGATTCAATGTTATAGTCCATCCTTCTAAAACTAATCATTTGCTCTAAGTAAATAGCTGTCAGGAAATGACACCCCCCCCCCCACGCGGCCTCTTCAAAATAAAAGTTTCCCTACAACTCCGTGCGCTCTGAATCTCTCAGCCTCCAGATTGCGCCGTCCGCTTTCCGCTCTTACTCAATCAGGGGGTCCAGCCCCAACCCCCAGACTTCGACAACAACTAGGAGGAGGAGAGAAGCAGACCAGATGGGGTGGGGGTGATGGAAAGGGGAGGTGTTGATGGTCTGCCGGGAAGAGGTTCGTGAAAATACAAACTGCCCATCATTTCCAGACTGAGTTTGCCTCCTGATTTGGGGGATATTTAACTACACTACTGTGTTGCTTTGAATACCCTTTGAAAGGAAGAAAAGAACACGTAAAATTGCTGTTCACGCCCAGAGAGATATAAATCTGGAATCAAGACGGTCCCCTTCTGTACAAATTTCTAACCCAAATAGAAATCTCCAAGCGGTTGCGCTGTTTTGAACCTGGGCTCTTTTCAGGGAAAGTGTCGTGTGGTTGCTAATCCTTTTATGAGACAAAGCAAACTGTTGAGTCCAATATGAAAATAATGGAATTTTTTCTTTCAAAAAGGGTTTGTAAGAGGGTACAGAGAATCGAGGGTCTGCGTAGACGTTCTCCGACAGAACGACCTTTACTCCTTTGCAGCCACTTATCTTGTCGTGCCTTTGTTTTCGGGGTTATCTGGGCGAGGCTGTCCTGGTTTCTATCATGCACACAGAAAGGCCCACGCTTGGGCGTTTGGGGAATTGTCCACACAACAAGCATGCCACCCCCGCGTTACTTCACTTTCCCGCGTTCCCCCCAGCCGCGTGGGTCCGACCTTCCCAATGCCCTGCGGTTGACAGCGGGGCCCCAAACCCTATGCCCAATGCGTGAGGCGACAGCGCCCGGGGAGAACGATCTTGCTCGCGAAGGAAAGGGGGCGCTGACGCTCCAGGAACCAGACCTGCGCGGAGAGGGGCCGGCGAGCTAGAGTGGGGGAGGGGAACGCGTCCCCTTCCGCGCCTTCTCTAAGTTTGATTTCGCTTTCAAGGTGGAGGGGTTCATTATCCCCACACGCATCTCCCCGCACTCAGAATGGCTCGGACGGCCAAAATGAGCCTGGAACGTCAGACAACAACGTCAGACAGCCATCACCTCCCTCTCCTCAGGAGGGTGGCGGCGGAAGGGCTGGCAGGAAAGGGTCACAGAAAAGTGCTCCAAGGGGTGCTGTACTTAACTGGAACGGGCTCCGGGAGTGTCAGCCTCGGGAAGACTCCTGGGGCTGAGCTGGGGGCCTCATTCTACCAGTCCTGCTGAGCTGGGGGCCCCATTCTACCAGTCCTTCTGCGCGCCCGCCTCTCGTGCATCTTCAGGGTGACTGCGTTGCTCAGTATTACTTCCACATGTTCCTTCAGGAAATCACTGAAGGCAAATCTATGAACAGCCCCTTGTTCGAAATACTAACAGGATACCGTAATGTTTGTAGATAATGAACGGGGCCTGACGACCCTCAAATAAATCTGTACGGAATAATAGGAAAAAGCTGTTTGCTGGCTGTCTTGCAACTAATGAAAACAAGTTGAGATCTACGTTTTTATACCAAGTACCCAGGAGGGTAGGAGGTGAGGCAAGGACCTACCCAGGAAGGCTTGCTCTGCTTCCAGGGAACTGCCAGCCCAGTCGCGCTGGGGTCTCGTGAAAGCAAGGCCCCAGCGCTCCCCGCCCACAAATGGTAACTTAACAGTTCATTTCAGTGACGCATAAAGGGGCTCGAAAAGCAGGCTACGCTGAGTGTCTTCGGGCCGTAACTTCTCGCAGGTTTAAAGCAGTGAGAATGGATGAGCAAGTGAGCGCCCAGTTGTCCTTCTGGTAGTAATTACCTGCCTAATTTGAAAGATGCCTTTGTTATGATCATTAACAAACATTTGCTAAAGGTTTCCATGTGTGACATTCCAGAAGGTTTAAAGGACTGGGGAACTGACTCCCGGGATAGCGCACCGGTGGGGGGTGGCGCAGGGAAGCAAATGGTTCGGCCGAACAAAAATGGAGAGAGGTCAACATCTGCCTTCCTTGCAAAAGCAAAATAAACCCTGTGGTCAGGAGCAACCTCGGGGCTG